TCCTCAATTTCTGTGCTTGTAGGTTGTGTAAAATATTCAAGCCCCCCCCCCAAGTATCTCACGGTGTAAGTGCTGCCAGAAATAAGACAGCGTTTTGAATGCAACAAATGTGAATAAATTGTGTGTAGAAATTAGAAACCATCTATAGATTTTTAAAAAGGTTTTCAGTAAATATGGAGAACCATTGAAAGGAACAATGTTTAATTGTGCCACTAAGCAAAAGTCCCTGCGTTTTACAATGCAAGCACGCTGCCTGCTTAGCTGGACACCCATGCTCTGACCTAGTATGGCAATTTTTAGGGTCTCTGTGCTGAGTGCTCTGTTTACAAGAAACTGAGGCCAGACACTAAGGAAGAACAAAGAAAAAAGCCTGGCACCAAAGAAGCGGGGGATGTTCTGTACATAAATGAAGATTTGAGGAGGAACACGTCCTCACAGTCTAAAAGGCACCACAAATCATTGCGTCTGCTTACTTGTTCATGAATTTATTTTGTTTTCCAGACCATTCTCTACAAAGAAAATATCTCCGAATTCACAAAAGGCAATCTGTCTCCCCCTCATCTGCACACCATTAAGCGGGAGAAAATTTCCTTAGGCTTCACCAGAGTGGGAGGAATGGAAATAATGTGCACAAAACGGAGTTCGACGGACATCAGCTCCACGCCCGCCAGCTGCTTTCCATCCAAAGGTCCCGGAGGGGAAGCCGGGCCGCGAGTAGGGGCCGCTCGGCAGCCCTCCACCTTTGTCTCAGGTGCCCCCGCTTCCACCCCCGCCGGCCTCCCGCCCGCCGCCCGGAACGGGTGACACATCCTTCTTTGGCCAAGTCGGGCCGAGGCCAGGCAGGGGGCGGGGAAGGAAAAGCAAGCCGGGGGAACGACGTGACTCTCAGTTCTTCCAGAGCGCTGGCACAGGCTTCCCCGACAGTTAACAAGTTCCCGAGGACCGCGCGGGGGACCGGCCTGCGAGTCCCGCTCCGCGAAGGGGTACGCGCCAGGCCTCGTCCTCCCCGGCGGGCGCCCGGAGCCGGCGTTTTCCGCCGCCGCACGCGCGGGAAGCAGCCCGGCGCTGCCTCCGCTCCCCGGGGAGTCGCCTCAGCCACAGCCCCGAGGCCCTCGCGGCCAGGCCAGTCCCCGCCCCCGGCCCCGCCCGCCAGGGCCTCCACGCGCCGCCCCACCGGCCTCGCCAGCCCGTCAGCCGGGCCGGGGGCGTCGAAGGAGAACGAGCCGAGCGCCAGGAGTCCCCGCGCCTACCTCAGTGCCTGCCGCTCCTCCTCCAGCGGCAGCCTCGGCTCTCAGCGCCAGCGGTACACACCGCCAGGGCTTCCCGCAGCGCGGGCTCGGGGCTGCGAACGCCGCGCGTGAGGAGCCGAGGCCTGAGCGCGCCCCGCCCAGCCGCCCAGCCGCTGGGCCCAGCCGCCGGCCACCGCCTCCGCCTCCGCCCCGCCCACCCTGCAAGTCCCGCCCACCAGGCTGCGCCACTCGGCGGTGGCCCCCGCCAACAGGGGCCCGTGAGGGGAGTTGCGAGAGCCGCGGCCCTGCGCTGATTTGTACAGGCGCGATTCATACTATTGGGCGAGTGAAGTTTCTTGTTAGAATATGTTATTTTATGATGGCCATCGGCATTTTGTGTCGTTCTTCGTATCCTCGTCCTTAGCCTTCTTGTCCTCCTTGGACTATCTAGGCTGCCAGGACTCTTGACCTCTCCTGCCCCTTCGCAGTGGCTGGCACTTGCGCGCCTCTTTTCTCCCAGTCCCGTAATTGTGTGAGTTTTTGAAAGAGTTTTTTGTTTTTCAAACGAATTACTAAATATGCCCAAATAAAGAAAACGATATAAAACAGATGCACAACCTAATGGATTATTCTGAAACACCCAGATTTTACATTAAAATAGGCCGACTTTATCATTTTGCAATTTTGATGCCTGGAATTTTGGCACTAGCTAAAATAATAAGTAAGGTTTGCCTTCACTGTATTAAAACAAAAAGGGGAGAATTAAATTGGGCTGCTTGGGCTGGGGATGTAGCTCCGTCGGTATAGTGATTTGTCTTGTACTCTGTAAAACCACATAACCGGGAGTGGTGGCACATGGCTGCAATTCCAGCTCTGGAAAGACAGAGGCAAGAGGATCAGAAGTTCAAGGTCATCCTTGGCCTAACTCGCTAGTTTGAGATCAGCTTGGGCTAAGTGAGACCAAGTTCAACAACAACAACATTAGCAACAGCAAAAAGAATGCGTGTAAAATTCCTAATTAGAAAATCAATAAACCTTTATACATACATACAGATAAAAAACAAGTCAGTCAGTCAGGAGATTGGGTAGTGTAAGGTGCACCTAGGCATGAAGAATCCTATGTAGATAATCTTAAAAGCAGCAGCAGATTACGGGTAGACTATGAGGATAGGCTCTGGGTACCTGGGCTATCTTTTCCATTCTGTTAACAGTCCTTAGCACAGCACCAGGCACATTCTAGGTGCAGGTGCTTAATGCATAGATGTGTGTACATACAATGTACAAACACATTTATTTATGGATGGTGCAAGCAAACAAAAAAAAGTATATAATTTTATATCTTGTGGCCATGTGAATTTGCTTTTCAACTTTTTAAAAAGAAGAATGTGCATAAAATTGCTCCAAACAGGATTTAACTCCTGGACAATTTCACCCACCCAAAGTCAATCTTTCCAATAGCTAAAATGTGGTTTGTGGTGCTTTGTAAAAAGAAAAGCCATTATGTGTCCAAATTTATACTGCTTTTCCATTTTAGAAGCCCTTTCGCATGCCATAAGCACAGATCTTCTTTGAGTCAGAGCAGTCCTGTGAGGAAGACAGGGCAGAGCAGAAGGACGTTGCAAAGATCACAGTACAGTTCATGCTGGTAAGAAAGGGAGGTGCCAGTGAGCCATAAAAGAACTTCAATACCTCTGACCCTGTCAGCCTGGATTCTTGACAGTTTTATTACCCGAGTTTTTACCTTAGGACTCCTGTGGAGACTTTGCCGCATATCTGTACACAGCATAAGAGGAATGTATAGAGAACACAATTCCTCCCAGGCCTGGTAGCACATGCCTCCAATTCCAGCACTCAGGAGGTAGCAACAGGAAGATCAGGAGATAAAGGCCAGCCGTAGTTACATAAGTTTGAGGCCAGCCTAAGAATCAGTAAATAAATACCCCACTCTTGGAAAAAGGACACAGTTCCTGCCTGGAAATTTGATTCCATACAATGGCATCGTCCCCTCTATCATGAGTATCTTGGTGAATTGGGGAGAGAGAGAGAGCATTGCCAACTCACCGCAATTGTTTGAGCACCTGACTGTGGAAGGTGGTAGAAATATAAAGAACATAAAATAAGACACAACCTTTGCTATCAAGGGCCTTAATGTCAAGAAATGGAGAAATATTTTAGAGTAAATGAGCAATTTTTTTATGATAGTGAAGAAACATTCTTGAATACAAGTCTGTTGGGGTAGAAGGAGAGAGTAGGGTAAGTTTTATCAGAGGAGGCGACATTTGAAGATTTTATTATAAAAAATAACCACTATGAAAAATATCAAAATATCAAATATTTTTTATATTTGTCTAAAATATAAAATTCATGAGTAGAAAGAAAGAAGAAATGCTATGCACCTACTACTTAAATTCAACAATTATTACATTTTTGCTAATATGTTGCATCTGTAATTTCTCATTCCTTCCTTGGATTATTTTGAAGAAAATCATATACAGCATATTATTGTACCTAAAAATATTTCACTATAAATTATTAAATAAAAGCTACCTTAAAAGATAATCATAATATCATTAAATTATCTTTTTCAATTAAGAATTTCTTAATATGTACAGCATTTATTTCTTTTTTTGTTTTGTTTTTTGAGACAGGATCTCTCTGTTGCCCTGGATGGCCTGGAACTAGCTATGTAGGTCAGGCAGACCTTTAACTCACAGAGATCAGCCTGCCTCTGCTTCCCAAGTGCTGGGACAAAAGGCAAGTACTACTATGCCCAGCTTATACATGTTCTTTTTAAAAGTATTTTATTATTTTTATTTTATGTGTGTGAGTATATTCCCTGCATGTATACAAGTCCACCTGTGTCATGCAATGCCCGTGGAGGTCAGAAGAGGGCGTTGGATCCCGTGAAACCGTAGTTATGGATGGTTGTTAACTACCATGTGAGTACTAGGGATTGAAACTAGATCCTCTGCAAGAGCAACCACTCTTAACTGCTGAGCCATTCTCTCCAGCCCTGCTTGCACATGCTCTTAACACAGGACTTAGTATTCAAATTTTCTCATGAACGTTTTATACATTATTTCTACAATACAGGAAGGACCCAAGCAAAGTCCTCACAGTGCACTTAGCTAGTCTCTTAAACTTGTTCTTTTCCTTGCATTTTAATCTTTATTCTTATTCTTATTATTTTAAAATTATGTGTACATGTGTCTATCTGTGTGAGAACGTGCATATGAGCACTAGAGCCCAAGGAGTCCAGAAGAGGGCACCAGATTCCCTGGAGCTGGAGTTGCAGGCAGTTGTGAACTACTCTACTTGGGAGCTGGGAACTGAACTCAGGGCCTCTTTAAGGGCAGTACGTGCTCTTAGCCACTGAACCATCTCTCCAGGCTTTTCCTTGTGGTTTACATGTTAAATCAATGCTTTGTTCTGTGGAGTTTCTCGTGTTCTGCATTTTTCTGATTATATCACTGTGGTGTTTAGCATGTGCCTTTATTCCTTGTATTTCCCATAAGCTGATAAAAGGAGGCTTGATCAGTGTGGTGGTTTGACTAAGTGTCCCCCATAGGATCCAAGTATTTGAACACTTGGTCAGTTGATGAGGCTATTGTGGGAAGGTCATGGAATTCCTAAAGATAGGGTTTTGCTGGAGGAAGCATGTCACTGGGGGCAGACTTTGATAGTTCATAGCCATGTTCCATTTCCAGTTTCTCTCTCTGCTTCCTATGTCTGCATGAGGAAGTGGGAGCTCAGCTTTCCAATGTGGCTACCTCTGCTGCCATGCTTCACTGCGTGATGGAGTCTTAGCCCTCTGGAACTATAATCTAGACAAACTCTTCCTTCCTTCCTTGATCATGGTGTTTTATCACAGCAACAGAAAAGTAACTAATACAATCTGATTCAAGAAAGTATAACCTATAATAAGGGGAAAATCAACCAATCAAAAGAGTATCAAAAACTGTCATAGATGTTAGAATTAGCTGATAATGACAAGAAATTCTTGCGTATTCCAAATGTTTAAAAAGTTAAACAGAGAAGATATAACAAAAGACCCAAGTTAATAGATGAATATTATGATGTCTGAGATAAAAATATGTTGCGTTGAGCCAGGTGTGGTGGTGCATGTCTCTAATCCTAGCACTTGGGATGCAGAGGCAGGTGGAGCTCTGTGAGTTTGAGGCCAGCCTGGTCTACATAGCAAGTTCCAGGCCAGCTAGGGCTACAGGGAGACAAAAAAAAAAAAAAAAAAAAAAAAGGTTGAGTTGGTGCTGAGCATGGTGGTGCGCTAGGAATGAAAAAAGTTATTTTATAATGATGAAGTTATTAATTCATCAAAAGGACATAAAAATCCTAAATCACCTTTCAAGTATATGCATCAAATACAGGAGCAAAGAGAAATGGAGAAATCCATGATTATAGTTACATATTTTAATACCCTGTTCCTAGTAACTGACAGAATGAATAGATAGAAAAATAAGGGTTTAGAATACCTGATTAGCATTATCAAGTAATATCACCTGACACTCCATCTAATAAAATGAATTCATGTATTTTTCCAAGTGCACATGGAACAGATAAGATTTGGTGTTCTGAAACAAGCTTCAACTTAAAAAAAAATTCTAGCCATGCAAATTGTTTTTTGACCCTAATGGAATTGCATCCCCAGATTTTAGTGTATTCCCTCCTTTTTCTCCTAATCCCCACACCTAGCTCTTTCTTTTGTAATCTTGTAGTATACAGTATATTGACAAGTTGCCATGTGCCGTTTGCATTTGTTGAGAGCTGACTCTGAGAACAAGGAATGAGGCCCCCTTGCCACAGACTCAAGCATGTTTATGTCAAGTGTCCTCCCAAATTCCCTGTTCTGGGTCAGGCTGGCTTCATGGCTCCATGCCAGGGAGAAAGGAGAACAACAAACAGCTAAGGGTGTTTAAAAAACATTTTACCCTGAGAACACTATTATAGAAGGTGAACTATTTCCAACCAAGGTTACTATTGTTCATCCCATGGTATAACAATGCCTGTGGTGGGAATGAAAGGCCTGAAGCTCATCAGTGGAGAGAACGCTCTGCCAGGAAATCTCTCAGTAGGGACCTCTAACATGACAACTTCAGCAGGGATTCTGCAGTCATTTCTGCTGGATTTTGAAAGTACCTGATTTGATGGTGTTATCTATCTGCTACTTTATTCTTTTACTTTGGCTGGCCGCATGCTTAATGAAC